TATATATATACATATATAGGATGTAATATTCGTGCCAACGCTCGTGTACGGGTAGAGTGCGGTATTCGATTTTTTTTTATTTACGGATGTAATAATGTCTATCGTTTATCTTCGTCACAAAAAGCTATCTACGAACGGCAGTAAAACACTTTTTTTTTTACTTTTTACAATAATTATTTCCTGACCACAGCTATAAGCAGTGATTCAAGTTCGAGCAGGTTAGCACCACACGGTGCTGTACGCTGCTCGGTACATACAAGTGAGAACCGATACGTCACGCTTCCGTGATTATAGATATGAGATTTTGATTCTTTCTTTTTTCTTTATATTAGACCATAGATATTCCGTGTGCGCTTGAAATGTATCACTGGCTTTACGAATTTTAATTCTAGAAATAAATTATAGTTTATAAAATATAGCTATAGGCTGCTATTAATTAAATCAGTGCTCGGAATTAGTTTAGTTTTTCAAACGAGATTGACGCTTCGAGATTGACGTTTTTTTCTTCTAACATTGAATTGAATTTAAAAATTGTTTAGGCAATAAACGTATTTTACGAATTTTCGTAAGAAATAGACAAATTATATTTCGTTTTCCGACGCAGATCCTCTAATGGACACATGGCCTCTAATGGGATCGTCATATCCTATTTTATACATTATTGTGACGTATCTAATTTTTGCAATAAAATTTGGACCTAAAATGATGGAACAACGACCAGCTTTCGACCTAAAAACAGCTATGATTTTTTATAATGGATTTCAAGTAGTTCTTAGTATCTGGTTAACGTTTTTGGTAAGTATAATATTGTGGTTCTGCGTGAAATCTGTTAATGTTTAATATTAAACAGTGAAAAACGTGTTACAATATGTACTTTGTTCACTTTCTATTATTTCATTTTCAAAAAACGATTACTTTAGCATTTGATATGTGAATCGTGAAAGCTTCAAAATAAGTATTAAATAGTACAATTATTGTGTAAATGACTAGAGAATATAATAATATATATTTATTAATTTAACACTTTTATAAAAATTAATTAATTGAAGTTAACGTTTTGACATAACTATCTAAATTTAAATATATATAAAACTGAATGTAAAGAAATCAACTAGAATAATTTAATGTGTAGTAAAAAATTTCATTGATTTCAGCTTTTAGATCTTAATATTCGATTATTTTCTTTTCACGGATGTAATGATGTTTACCGTTTATCTTTGTCACAAAGAAGATACATACCAATAGCGGTAAAGCATTTTTTTTTAATTTTTACAATAATTATTTACGATAAGTTTGTAATGTTGTGTGTCATACCCTCACCGGCACAAAATTCGATCCATATGCTTAAATTTATTTTATCTAATTAGGAGATACTTTTTTGTTTAGCGTAATTTTTTTGGCAAAATTGATCATGATCATTTGGATATTAAACAGTGTTAAGGTAGTTTATTTCTGTTTACATGATAACCAAGCAAATTCAACTATATCCCAGGGAGAACAACAGGTCAAAGAAACGTCCAATAGACGTCTATTAAACGTTTCTTAAACCTGTTGTTCTCCCTGGGATGTGTTTCTCAAAGAAGTAATTTTGCTAAAAATAGATCGAATTTTATGTCGGTGATTCATAAATCGAATTTTATGTCGGTATATTTTGAATGTTCAGATGTCACGATGTGGGTGGTGGTATTTCTTTGCAAAGATCACCGAGCTTCTAGATACGGTAATCAAATGTATGCATATTATATAACATATTAATATTATAAATACATATGTACATATGTATATACACAATAAAATTAATGCAGATGAATTAATCATTATGATAGTCAATAAAATAGTTATTCTTATGTATAGTAATATAAATAAAGTTGAGTAAAGTAAGAAAAAAAAATTCTATTAAAAAATGTAACTAATAATGTTTATTTTTTTCTCTACTTTTTGAAGGTATTTATGGTGTTGAGAAAGAAACAGAATCAACTGACTTTCCTACACATTTATCACCACACAGCAACGGTCTTTATTTCGTGGTGCTTTTTGAAATTGCTGCCTGGTGAACAAGGTCCCGTAATAGCTTTTTTGAATACTGTCGTTCACATTATTATGTACAGTTATTATTTCATTGCCGCGCTTGGCTCGAAATACAAAAAGTACATTTGGTGGAAGAAATATATGACCTATATTCAGTTGGTAATTATAAAGCATTATACTGCCAAAATAATTTATACAGATTATTAGAATCTTATTTCTGTCAATTGACATTGAATTAATTCTCGTCAATTTTTTTCAATACGCGATTACATTTCTACAACTTAATAATCGAATTTAATGTCGACATTATTTTTAAATGTTTTATTTTATTATTCTCAGCTATTTTTTTCAATTAGTGTGTTTAATATAATTTTATAATATTTGTTTATTTAATAAAAAAAAATTGGAAGGAACATGACAATTATACATAGATTTATTATAATATAATGATTCAAATGTAATAATTAAAATTTTTTATCAAATTTTAGTCGCACTTTGGAATGCTATGTTTTTATCTAATAGCAACGTTGGCTCTGGACTGCCGAATGCCAAAGGCTCTAACGTATTTTTTCCTAATAGTTTTTGTCATATTTATCTATCTGTTCAGCAATTTCTTTCAAAAGACCTATAAGACAAAAACGGCTTAATTTCGCCAAAATTTAATAAATACAAATAAATTCAATCGAGCTAACGTATGATTGAATTTTTAAATAAGCGAATTTAAATAAGTAATTTTAATATTTTTAAATTAGTAAAAAAAAAGAATTAACATAAGAACATACAACAAGAAGATTGCAGTTTGTAGTGCAGCAGCAGCTTTCAAATGTCATCAATTTTTATGATAAAAATAAAATAACGTAAGAAATCTGTGTATAGAAATATCTACAAAATAAACGATACATTTTTATGCTTTATGCTTTAAAACATGTGTTTACTTGAATTCCTATTTCATTGTAATTACATGTATTTCAAACATTATCGCCGAAATTCTTCTAAAAATTATAACACATAAGACAGTTAACGCATATAACGCATATAACACGTTCTAAAAATTATAACTCATATAACAAGGTTCTACAAAAAATAGCATTTTTCGAACACATGAATATATATGTTAGGCATCTTCTTTAATAAGTTTTTTTAATACAATGCCGCTCGTAATGATGCTCCATCACGTCACAATTTTGAGAAATTCAAGATCAAAGTTATAATAATGGGCTATTTAACTTTACCATGCTATAATATGCAACGTGTTAAAAAGTTCCTTTTTTTTTAAATAAAGTATATTACTAAAATTTTTAACTCTTAGAAGGAATTTTTTGTATACATTACGATTAACATGAATTTGACGATTAACTATTATGTTCGTTACACCGCTATAGATAGATTCTAATTGATGGTTTATTGAGATTTTTTGGATATACATTTTTCTTACATTTAGTTTTATATCTATCTTACCAAAATTTAAATTCTAATTTTACTTTATTTTATCCTACTTGGAGAATGCTAATGCGTGTCCGGTTAAATCCGGTCACGCGTGTTCACACTCATCCCATTTTACACTATACACACATGACATACGCTCCTAATCTGATTTTTGTTTCTTATTGCATGTTAATTTATCAGTGCTGTGCCAATATACCTATGTAAACTTGGCACCCGACCTTTAATAAATAAAATTTTAAATAAGTAAAATGATAGTATTTCGTTTGTAGTAAAAATATTTTTGTTTGTAGTTTAACCCATTATAAAAAAAAAAATGTTTAAAAAATGACTGTCACCCGACTTTAAGATTTTTCAAATCCGCTTCTTCCACGTGATTCCGAATCGTTTGTAGTTGTTTGTAGTAATTTTCCTTTCGTTTGTAGTTGAATAGTTTAAAAGTTACAAAATATTTGCAATAAACAAATAATGTAACTTTGTCAATTTTGAAGATTTTTCAAATCCGCTTTTTCCACGTGATTCGGAATCGTTTATAGTTGTGATGTAGTAATTTTCCTTTCGTTTGTAGTTGAATAGTTTAA